TTGTTCCCTGCGTAGGAGCTGAAGCGTCCCACATGCATCCCTATGACTTAGTGAGTATGAGGCCCAATTGGTTGAAGGCGACGGGCTATACACGCACACCTACACACCTGCACAAGTGACTGGCATACGCACGGAACAAATTAATTGAGTAGACTCATGTTGAATGCCCCCCTCAGATTATTTCTGTTGCCCAAGCGGACAACTTGGCCGCGAAATGGTATAGATGTTAATGGGTACAGCAAGTCGGGTAATTCGATCAATCATGATAACCTATCCACTATAAGTTGTCAGCAACCTCACAGGCAGATTAAATACTGATTTTGTGCGACTCAATATTACCAATCGAGATTCATCTTAGTTGCTTACCCTTACTTGCATTTAATTTTCTGGCGGAACGAAACAAATCTGGCAGATTGCAAACTTGCTCTTGAAACGATTAGGAACATTAAATCACTTCCGTAGGTTGGCTCACAGCAAAAAATATTTTGCATCAATAGGATGGCAGTGATCCATCTCGCATTGCAGTAATCAAACAAGAACACTGGACAAGATGACGGTACTATTAACAAACAATCAGGAAGCAATAATATTACAAACCTCAATAGTAGCGCTTCCACTCAACGCAGTTTCAAAGAGATACAATTCGGTCCGAGAACAACAAGAAACGGTTCAGATCGTCAATGCGATACAGAATACAGAACACTGGTTATATGGGACAAGTGAAGTCAAGGCGATTGGTCAAACACAGACCGGATGAAGGCCGGATGCGTGAAATGTGAGTGTGTGGGATGATAAGTACATTGCTCATGCTCAGTGCGAGAATAATTGGGGTGATTGTTGCCGTGGTAAGGACAAGATAATTGAGGTGATAGTTGCGGTGGTAGTGACAAAGATAATTGAGGTGATAGTTGCGGTGGTAGTGGCGAAGGTACTTGGGGGGTGGTAGTTGCGGTGGCAATGGCGAAGGTAATTGGGGAGGGGGGCGATAGTTGCGCTCGGAGTAGTCCACACTCGATGGTTGGCGGATGGCGGAGTTGAACACAGGGCATGGAGAATCCTACACTCCCGCCAAATTTCGGACAGAAATTTCACTTCGGGATCTTGAGGTACTCTGGTTCACCCTAACCTGCTCCATCCACTATGGAGAAGAGTAGGACTTACAACGGTACGCCTAAACTTCTCCACTTCGGTCTGTTGAACTCACGGTGGTCCTCCCTGAGGCAGCAGATTCGAAAACCCACCTCCCACTTGCGGTGCTTCAACAGCCGGGACTGACCCCTTGCCCCATTCGCTGCCTTCGATAAGGCAGATCTTTATAACATCGCGCGCAAACAACCCATATATTCTAACCGACCTTGTCTTTACTAGGCCGTCCTGGGTGGTCTTACCACGCTCAACCACTGCCAAAGGCCAACTGTCCCGACGGTGTGAATCCGAATTAATTAAATCCACGTCCTTGTGTCTAACGTTGCGTTGTACTTTCGGCCACCTTTGCTTCAGGTGCATTAATGTGAGATACTCCTTGCTCCACCGTTTCCAAATTAGTGTGGCTAAGTAGTTAGTTTGCCTACAACATTGTGCAGACCCGTTACAAAGCTTCGCTGGTGCTGTTCCCTCTGTATTCGATCTGAGTATCAGCAGATCATTAGGCGTGAGAACTAGTTGATCAACCGCGATTGTCCTCAGCAGGTTAGGAGGCCTACTGTTAATGATAGGCTCTGCTTTGGCGAGGTACAGAGGGGGCTCTGCAGATACTGTAACAACGTGGGCTATCGTGCGTTTATTTTCCACTGAGAGTGCATGATCACCTGTATCAACACGAGCAAAGTTGTTGTTGCTCAATCTCCCTAACTGTTCTTCAGCTGTCGGCCTACTAACATGGCAATCATGTACGGAATCAACGGCACTTCTGCCTTCTCCAACTGGGCCTAACAACGTCCAACCGAGTAAGGTTTTCACAGCAAAAGGATGATTTCTATCCCCAAGACGTTGCTCTAAATGCCAGTGTGCCTCTGGCACGTTAGCACCTAAGAGTATTCGGATCCGACTATCCCGGATTTCCTCAAATGGTATATCCGCCATGTGTGGCCACTGGCGCGCCAAATCCCTCTTCGGGGTTATAATGGGTTCCAAGGGCAGTCTTGGCAAGCAGTAGGCCTGCCTAACAGAAATCGAAGCAGTGCCATCTAGGGATGACAAAGTGAAACCTACATAACCCGCTTCGATCGAGGATGTGCCCGACATCGTCGTGAATTCCAAACGACTTGGTGTGACCCCGATGCCGGCTTCTTCCATAAGTCCTTCTTCTACCAAAGTTACGTTCGAACCTGTATCTAACAAGGCGTATGTTTCCAATACTCTTCTTTGGCTTTCTATACGCACTGGTACCACTCCCAAACACACCTGCTGCTGTGCAGTGACGGTAGCAGTGCAAGTGTTTGCTACGGTCGGTGAAGTCATTTGTCTGGACTCTGAGTGAAGCAGTGGATGATGATGCCCTCTGCAGTCAGACACATTACATTCTTTGCTATTTTGACAGGTGGCAGATTTGTGTCCTGTTTCTAGACACCTGAAGCACCCACCTCTGGACTTCATGAGCCTCCACCTGCTAGGAACATCCAAAGAGAGAAAAGTACGGCACGAGGCCGTGGCATGATCACTACCACAATTCAAACACGCTGTTTTAGGAGAGGCACCTGACCAGGTGTAGAGGACGTGGCTACGATCGTTTCGTCTGTGCTCTACTAGCGGTGGTCTGGCATCTAAATGCTGCCGCGACGCATTTGACGAAGCGATTTGACCGAATCTACTTCGCGCAACACGAGATTCCGTGGCAACGAAATCAGCCAAGTCCTTGAAATCGACCTCCCGCCCATCATGCGTGATCGAATCTGCTACCCTTGCCCACCGGGCCTGAAGGCTGCTGGGTAAAACACGCACTACTCGTTCAATCGTTGCAATGGAATCCAAGTCCGCAGTAAAGTTCATCTGCGACAGAGCGATGTAGCAATTTTCCATTTTCATGGACAATTTACTCAATTCATCTGGGTTGGCAGAGAGTGGCCTCAAGCCAGTCATGAGACCATCAATTAACGATCTGGCTACGACATGGCTTTCTCCAAATAGTTCACGGAGAACCTTTCTCGCTCTATCGTAGGCCACAGAGGGAGGCAACATCACACATTCACTGATGGCCTCCTTGGCATCGCCACGACAATAATGAATCAAATAAAGCAGTCGCTGGCCACTGTCAAACACGCGGCTTTCGACGTAGTATTCGAACTGCTTTACAAATTTCCAATACTTAGCAGGGTTACCGTCGAAATATTCTAGTTCAACCTTTGGCAGATCTAGCTGTAGGCACTGCTGTGACACTAACCTACCCCGATTGGCTCTGTGATCGTACGCCTCGGCTGCCGACAACTGACACTGATCAACAAAAGCGCCTATACCCTGATTCCTCTCACCAGAACTAGGGGCCGATATCACTTTAAGATTAGAATGGACATTGCTTTCTTCCAATTCTACTCGAAGCTTGGCCATTTCTAATTCAAGATCTACTAAACGCTTCTGCTTATCCAAATCTGACTGTCTTTTTCTTAACTCCGCTACAGTCATTACAGCGGACGAACGACGGGAAACAATACTATGCTCAATCTTATGGCTAACATGTGAACCAGAGCATGAAGCACCATCATGATATTCATCAATGACTTGCCGGTATGCTGCATCATCCATGGGATTTTCAGAGGTAAAATTCCTTGCAGACATTGTCCGATGTGATTGAGTGAATTCCACTTCACTTCAAGGCGTAAAGAACCGTCAAATTCCGGAATCCAGTTGAAAGCAAACGAAATGCTGTTGAGTACGGCACTCGAAACTTCAAACTTCACTCCAAACGAGGAAGCAGTATTGAGTACTGTAAGCGACAATTCGCTTTGAAGGGCCTTGAGCCAACGCGTATCCAGCCAGTCAAAGAACAAGAACACTGGACAAGATGACGGTACTATTAACGAACAATCAGGAAGCAATAATATTACAAACCTCAATAGTAGCGCTTCCACTCAACGCAGTTTCAAAGAGATACAATTCGGTCCGAGAACAACAAGAAACGGTTCAGATCGTCAATGCGATACAGAATACAGAACACTGGTTATATGGGACAAGTGAAGTCAAGGCGATTGGTCACACACAGACCGGATGAAGGCCGGATGCGTGAAATGTGAGTGTGTGGGATGATAAGTACATTGCTCATGCTCAGTGCGAGAATAATTGGGGTGATTGTTGCCGTGGTAAGGACAAGATAATTGAGGTGATAGTTGCGGTGGTAGTGACAAAGATAATTGAGGTGATAGTTGCGGTGGTAGTGGCGAAGGTACTTGGGGGGTGGTAGTTGCGGTGGCAATGGCGAAGGTAATTGGGGAGGGGGGCGATAGTTGCGCTCGGAGTAGTCCACACTCGATGGTTGGCGGATGGCGGAGTTGAACACAGGGCATGGAGAATCCTACAAAAGGTTTTTCACATTAATAGGATGGCAGTGATCCCTCTCGAATTGCAGTAATCACAGATAACCTTGACAACCAAGTGAACTGAAACCCGAATGTTGACGCTTAAAGTGTAAATCATAATTAGCTACTCATCTGATGACATGCACTATCCGTATTCACCCACAACCCACCACCATAAAGTTATCACCTACTTTAGAAGGACGATACCACTTCGACAGATGGCGAAATATTTGTAGGCTAATTGTGCAGCTTGACGAATAAAACGAATCAGCACCCAATTAATGTAATTATATTACAACTTACCGCAGCAAAGACTGAATGACGACCAACTTCAGAACACGCAAATATTACCAAACAGGCTGCGCTGATTTTTGGCATTAGCAGAAGTTTGTGGACATACATAGGTTCCACTGAGCAAAGCTTGACTACTGCACCCAATATCAACTATGCACACAGAAAAGAGCGTATCTATCCAGCTGATAACTTTTATTCCGGCATATTTTCAGATCATTCAAACGGTTGACGAGAGAAAAGCTTATCGCATTCAACCTCACAGTGAATTATAGGAACTCGAAAGAAAAGAAAGGCTCCTCTAGAAATTTCGGAAATATTTGTATGTATCAGAGAGGAGTGAACCTATGAAAACTGGAAAATAAATTGGTTTAAGGGAAGAAAATGTGTTACTCTGCTGCAGTGAACGGATGCAGATGATGATAAAGACTTCTCGAATGAAAATGTGAGCAAACTGTACAAAATCACATTGCCAAACTCTCAAGGGATTCTGAGTGAAAAACCTTGTACTTTTGAGTCAAATGCAGTGGCCATAAACCGGAATGTATGGGTGAGACTGTCAGTAGCATCAGCGTGGCTGACTTGAGCTGTTAGTTAACTAGGAGTATGCGGAAGGAACAATTCGTGAAAAGTGTCACCTCTTTGGTTTGTCTCTTACTGGTGTTTCAGAGAACATGTCGCTTGGTAGAGATGCTACTACGTTGGACCCATGTGCCAGTTCATTTTTTGGGGAATGGGTGTGATATTTTTTGTATCCACTGAATAGACGGCGCCTTGTAATTATACTCGGGAAGAAAAGCTTAGCATTTTTGGGCGAATTCGTGCTTAATTGACTGTATCGTTCAGTGAGGTACACATCATCCTCTGATTGGCACAGCGTTGGCATTGATGTGGGAAGGCGTGTTTGTGGGCTCTTCTGATTATACATGGATCCATACCTATGCTGACTTTTGGAGGCAAATAACACATTTATTGGGCAGTTCATTTCGGGTAGATTTACGACGTTTTCGAACTCATTTGTGTGACAAACGCATTTGCAAGTGGATGGTTGGTGATCTATTGGAGAGAAAAGGAGCAAAAATGAAATGGTTCGCTTCGTAAGTCAGGTAAGGGGGTTTATTACACAAACCAAGTCCTTTTTCGGACAATTTTATTATGACCTAACTCATTGGCAACTGATTTGCGAGTGATGGTTCCGATGCTGGTTATAGAACAAAGGTGAAATTGCAGATGGCTTGGCCTTGATTTGGAGCGCAAGATAATGGGATTCTCTAAAGCGACTGGCTTATGTTTTACTGACATATCTGTGTCAATATCGAACGTGCCTTTACTATGTCTGTATCCTTCAAGCGGGAATGTTTGAAAACAACTTCCTTCATAGTTGACATTCGTAACTGCAGTGTACGCATTGTCAAATCTGAGTTTTTCTACGTATCTTGTTGTTGTGCCCATCCATCGTGTGAAGAGTGTCCATTCCAAGATTATCAGGTGCAGGATTTTTGTATTGTCGGAAGGGATCGCGTTTGGTTTCAACCACCCTCCATCTAGTGTGTATAATCCATTTGTTAAAGCTTTGACCATGGCCAGCTGTCGTATGGACAACTGCCGTTTGAAAGACTCAACCAGTATATGCGTTTGACACCTGCATTTTCTAGCTACTCAGTCCACATTTTCTTACCTTAACTATATAAATGTGTTGTAGCTGGCTTGAAGATGAATCACGGAAAAGGAACATGTTTGCTCAAATGTCTTTTCATGAATGAAATAAGGATTTGCGACCATTTGCAACAAACCATACAGAGCTACTCAACAACGCAGGACTTTACCTGTTGATATTCAAGAAGACAAAAAACCACTGGGTTGCTGATGTCAGTTAGTGACCACCCTAGACTGGGAATGAGAAGAGGAAGGACAAGCAAACCCTGCTACTTGTCAGTAGAGCTGAAATACATGATCCCAGGTACCAGCGTTGTCATCTGCAACCTTCGCAACTTGCGTGGTTTCGAAGGATAAGTCGCACTATATCGAAGTTAGCTGGCACATGTCACATAGTGTAACAAGCTTTTGGCTACTGAGAAAAGTTGTACGTGTCGATGGATAATGCTTTCGGTCCCCGAAGGAGGTGGGGTGTTCACACAACTGACGAATTCGAACACAATGTAATGGCTATCTAGTAATTTGCCAATCGTATCTTTGTCTGTTGGATTCGAAAACTGCTTCTGCAAACTCTAACTAAAATATTGATACGTATGAAAAATAGCTAGACTTTAGCCACACGACCCATTGGCTGGAATCACAGGGCACCTCGTTGAAACGCTTGGGAAAAGTTCGTCAATTGGGACACTATTCCTGATGGAAACTGAACTAATGGCTGCTGTACGTTTATTCACCGAAACTCATAAAAATTGGGTACAACACAATGGACGACATTAGGATATATCAAGCGGTAATTAGACATTCCAAATCTGGCGTACCTGGAGTTGCAGCGCAGCGGAGCAGATGATAAACCGGGTCGCTCAGTTCGGCTGTTGGGTTTAAAAAATTTAATGTTCGTTAAATGTGTGTCGCAGTTTCTGAAGAATGAAAGCTGGTTGCAAGTAGTACGGCATGTATTTGCGAAAAATATATAGCATCTTTAATTCAACTTTTCTTCATAAGGCAATTGTCGCATACAAAGGGATGTGTGATGTGTGAATATGGTGTGATTTCGATGATATGCATCAGGTGCACTTAGGAGTAATATTATTATGCAGGAGAGAAATACCTCAAGATAGTGCAGTTTAGATATCTTAGATATTTTAGCTTTACTGAGGCTTCTCAACATTGTCTAACTCTCCATGACTAATCAAAAGATTTTACTGGTCAAGCCGCGTAGTTAATTAAAATGCTGGTTATGCTTCGGAGTCAAACAAAATGAATGTCAAACTAGGTTACTTCGAGATCGATTCACACACTAACTAGGCTGTCAGTTGGTAGCTTGTTCTGCTAGTGTAACAAAAGTTAATTAATTAATGAGGCCACTTGGCTAATCCGTGCAAATGTCACTAACCAATAGATTCCACGTGATTATGGACGCTAATCTGTTATCGTATTTATAATTTTGTACACGGTTGAACGTAAATGCCAATGCGGACAAATGAGTGGCAAGTTCAGATAGCAAACTAACCTGTGTCATCCAATGTTTTGAACTTTTTTCGGAATAACAAATCCCGCTGTGAATTAGAGAAACACGGAAGTCACGAGCATAGGTAAACTGTGGAGAACTTTTGTGGTACAAAACCCCATGTTAACTAGTCTTTTGTGATTCGATACTAACGCGACTTGGATCAGGTAGATTGTTAGGTATAAAAAGTGAGTTAGCAATTAAAATGCCTCCAGTATTAAAAGCGCCTCGTCTTATGATTTGCTAATGGTCAGACGAACGAAATATTCACAAGTGCAAACTCAAAGCCATAAATCAAAAATTAAATACATATGCTTTCAGTGTAGTTTGCTAGAACATATTAGTTTTGAAATAAAGAGTGAGGTAAAACTGACGCCCGCAACCATCAAGCTGATTGCTGCAACGGCCAGGGAAACTTGGTTGCTGACGTCAGTTTCATGGAAGCACACAAGCATTATTGTCGAGTTTTTGAATACCCACCGGAGGTCTCGGATTGGGACACACATTCACATTTGTGACCTCGGTTAACTATGAAGTCAGGCTGTGTCAAGCCCTGTTGGTGGATCTCAATAGCCCAGTGAGCATATCAATATCCGCTAAGAGCTGTGTGCCGAAACACGTCGTATATTGCCGTGATATGGGAGAGCAACGCCGAAACGCTCTGCACAAGCATGTAATAATATGCAACCACACAATTTATGCCACGGCGATTACGAGAAGCGGATAGGATGCCGACACATGTACGACCAATGGTGCGATTGATGAACAGCGGAAGTATGCGTATTAACGTTGTATAATCGGCCGCCTGTGATCGGTCTAGGTGTGGTCTTCGGTGTTTACAAGTCGGTAATCTTTTGTCGGTTGTAAGGTTGAACTTCAAAGTTGTAAAAATTATAAATTCCAGACAAGTGCTGGAAGGATTAGAATGATATTGTTGTGGAGGCAATCTCAGTCGCCTCCTTCACAATGTTGTCCTTTCCTGAAGTAAGCCTTTCAAAATAAGCTATTTTGCCATTACTTAATGTAAATAATGAATTTCACCATGTTGCATTTGCTTAAGTACAGTTGCAATACTTGCATCGCTCTAATTTCAAACCGCGCACTTCATTAATTGTATCAACGCGATTTCGGAGAGGCGCTCTAGGTTTTCCAGGGGATCGTCGTTGTCCTTTCTGTCGCGCGGTAATTTGGTGTAAAACAATTGATATTTTCCTACTCACCGCTTAATTGGGCAGCTGTTTTGTCAACTTGCCTCATGCATGTGGACAAGAATTTTCTGTGGTGAGTATACACAGCATCATAAGTACCTAAGGATACTACTCATAATGCTTATAATAATCAATACTTGCCAACATGCATTTGGCGCCATGTTTGGCAATAGGCGATGTCTGTTATTTGTTTTGTTGTTGCTCATCCCTTGCCGGTTTCTTGAACTATCCAGCATTTTCTTCGGTGTTTTTGATTTTCGTCCATCACCTTAACTGTTGTCACCGTTTAGTGCAACTTTCCTGCAGTGAAACTGTGTCCACTCGCATTGTCTTACTTTAAGTTCCGTTTGTTTTCATTTCCTTTGACTTTAGTAAAGAAGTCCCCAGTGATTTTAGCTAACCACTGAAGTTGCAAAATTATCTTTAGAAACCACTTTTATGTTGTTTTAACAATGTTGCCACATTTTGGGGGAAATATTGTCCTCCTTCAGTAGCAATAAGACTGTCGGATTTGCTGTGCATGAATTCTCAAAAAGCAGTTCAAGCTCATCAACTTAACTGTATCCAGGCGCTTAGATGAGATGTATCACGACATAGAAAGTGCCTTAATTACTTTATTACAGTCCAGAAAATTTTCGCTACACGTAAATGACTCTACTTTACTTGAAAACAACCCTCTTATCGTGGTAAATATCTGCTACCTCAATGATAATTAATTAGTAGAAGAATGGCTGTTTTCCAAGAGGATTAAAACTCAAACAATAGGCTAGTCTAAATTCGATATATTCCATGGCTATCTGATTGTAAACTTAATCACAATGGAGAATATAGTTGAAGAGGCAACAGATGGTTCTGCCGCGATGGTCAGAAGATGCAAAAGATTTATAGACCAATTAAATTTGTTTTCTGTTTATACAGTTCACTGTGTAGTTTAGCAAGATCATCTAGTGGATAAAATATATGGAGGGCACTAGAAAAGATATACTGCCTACTGTTATAATAATAAGCAACAATGCCAAATCATACCCTTACGAAGATCGTCCATTCCAGCAGTTGTGTGAGGAAAACAGTGAAGATTTCCGGGGTATTTTGTTGCACACAGTGTGTAGAATGCCCACCAAGAGCAACTGTCTTCACTGCTTTGTTGCAATCTGAGACACCATTAGTATGCATTTCCGGAACTGATTATGGAAGTGAACTGCTAACAGCTAAGCCCGGGGTGATTTATCTGGCTGATATTTTTAAAGAATTTAACTTATTGATTAGATGTGGATTTTGTGAGTAATGTAATGTTCGTAGAAAGTAGAAGTCACGCTTAAACTGCACACAATAATCTGTCTCCACGGCGCATCGAACGTCGGTCCAACGAATTACCGGTCCGCTGCTCTACCACTGAGCTACCGAGGGTTGACCATCCGGTGCACAATTTAATACATGATTTCTGCTTGGTGCGCGACGTATTGCCAACGAGCACACAGGATCTGTCCTGGTTTTGCAGATTGGCTCACTCACTCGTCGGACCGGTAATTCGTTGGACCGGTGTTCGATTCTCCGTCTAGGCAGATTATTGTGTGCAGTTTACTCGTGACTTCTACTTTCTACGAACATTAACTTATTGAATAAAACTCATAGCCGCAGCTTGAGCACTCCCCTTGCAAGCAAAGAAGTCATTATCGCTTTTCTTAGAAAACGAAACTGCAGCTGTACGCTCGCAACATCACACTTCGAGAATTTTCTCAGTTCCCACTTCTCGATACATTCACGGAGAAGATAAGCTCAAGTCAGGTCAAATTAAGCTTTATCCACGCGCGTGTGTGTGTGTGTGTATTTTCACACCCACACTGAGAAAGCGAATACCATAAATATTGACTGCGAAATAACGATTGACAGCAATACACGAAAAGTTGCCTCTTAAATCAAGAATACCGTCACCAAAGCGGTGTCTCATTCTTTATGGGTCCATTTAAATGCGTGATAGAAAAGGCAGGATAGAGTTTCTATACGACGAGGTACGCGATTATAAAACTAACTTTCTTCCGTGTGGACAAGGTACATCTATTGCTGGCTGGGATTGCGCGTAATGTGTAAGCGAAATCAGTTGAAATCTTGGATGGCAATTTGATGCATGAATCAAATTTTTGTTACAAATAAAATATATGTGCGGTTCGTTCCTTAAACCAGATCAGCAAAATATGGTTTAGCGAATGGACAATGAGGACCTAATCCTTATCAAGCATTGCTGGGAAGATAACTGGGGAACAGTATAACCAGTGAAGGAGAATACACTCTCCTTCGAGTTTCAAAGCTTCCTCGATGATTAAAGTTATGCAACCCAGGGTGACATCAGCAGCATATTTACAGCCTACGAAATGTGATGGAATAAGGCGATTCTCAACGTAGGCGGCGAACAGAAAGGGGGATAGATTGGTTTCCTGCAAGACACCACAATTGGTTTGGAGTACAGAAGTCTTCTTGCTACATAGCTGCGTGAGGTAGGCGCTATTTGTTAAGCAATCATGCAACACACTGCACAACTATGAATGGGCACATCTTCGGATAACCTGTTGAGCAGTAATGTTCGGCCAACCCTACCAAAAACGCTGGTCTAATCGAGAAATAGGGTTCGTACGCCGTTGCATCCAGTATCCAGTGAGAACGCATTAGGACGCACCAGTTAAAAACAGCATCCAGTGTAGAGCACCCTGGTTTATAGATAGACTGCTTGACATCATCAGCATGATTACATGTGAAAATGTAGAGGACCAGTGTTCTTTTCAGTACCTTAAGAGTCAGGGGGATTTGCGGTATTGGCCAAACTTTACGACAGCTTTCTTAGGCACTAGTGTTATTCTGGCTGTTTTCCAATCATGAAGACGTAATTATTTATTTCAATCATGTACAATTACACAGAAAACAAATGAAAGACGGGTTTCATGGTCTGATTAACATGGAAGTCTCGATTTGGATTTAAGAATCTTTTGATTCACCTCCCTGCAATATTGGGGCATCAAAGTGAGACCAGCAACATACAGATTCACGCAATATAATGGGAACTTTTGTTAAATAAGGATTCGCCTAATCCATTTCCCAAACTAGGAAATAGCTGAAATATATTGCTTGCATTTCCATCCACCTACTTGTATGACTGTGGATTTGGTAGAGTGGTTTTCCTGATAGAAAACAGATCCCTATTGGAAATCACAGCAAGAAACCTTCGACTCTCGCTGTCACTTCTGGATCTTGACATAATCAAGCTTGATCAAAGGCCACGGACTCAAGGCTCGCAATTATAGTTAGATGAAAACATTGTTAACAACTTACTAGATATCCTAATTCATTCCATGATTTGTAAGTAAGAGGTGACCATAATTAAATACCATGCCAAATATTACTAAGGAATTTTGTCTAGTTTTAGACGAGTGGTTTGTCGTTAATTTAAAAGGTATGTCATCGTTAGTTTATAAAATATAAAAGTGTAATTCATAAGGGAAGGAGAATAGATATCAGCATTAAAAATTTAACCGTAACAAAAGACAATAATACGATCACTGGAAATCACAGCTTTGATTCCTAAATTGTGGTGATCAAGTTGGCAGGACAATGAGGATTGGAAACGTAAAAGGTGAGATATAGTAAAGGCAAAAAGGGCAAAAGCTAAAAAGTTGGATAAAGTTAACAACGTCTGATTGCAATGGATGACGAATCATCACACATTTAATATATTTTTCACCCAATATGCCAATAGTGAGTTTACAGTCACCGTTAATTATAATTCAATCAGCGAACCTGTTGGATTTACTAGTAATGTTTGCAGCATACTTCAATGCCCTCAACCTGTTGT